TATATATATATATATATATATATATATATATATATATATATATTGTTTATTGATCTTTTAAATCTCGTATAAAAAATTGCACTGAAAAGAAAAAAATACCAATTGGAGTTCAGTTTTGATAATATACATGAATTTATGCAGCGCGTCGTAAACTTGTACCTAAAAAAAGCACATGGCAATTTAAAAAAAAATCTTCAAAGAAACGGGTTTATGAAATAAACATTACTTAGTGCGTAATAAAAATAACCGGGTCTATTCACAAAGCAGAAGAGTTTACTTCCTACCACGAGTCCCAGACATTTTAATATAAGGCAAATAATTTATATTTGTATACCTATATTATAAATATTATGTATGTATATGTATGTATGTATATATATATGTGTGTGTGCATATATATATATATCTTAGCATACATATATATATGCATATGGGAAGATTAACTGTATTGCATTTGTTAACAAATGCCGTGTGCAAAGAATACATATGAATTATGCAACAATTCCAAGAATAAGATGATAAACATCGTTAAACATCCTTGTATTTCGAAGAGCTTTACGGGTTACATCGTAATTAATTATATTTGCAAATGATCAATTTTCATAATTAATTAATAAGCTATATTATCTTTAAAAAAGATATCTATTATTCTCAAAAATTATAATCGTCAGTGTTTTTAAGTGGCGTTCATCGATAAACTTAATAAAAATTAAGCAAATCGATTTCTATAAATTATGAATTATTAATACAATTTTGAATGTTTATTAAATCATTTTACAGTATTAATATTAATTCATTATCGACTCCACTGTAATATTATCTCAGCACAAAATTACGTAGATAAATTGCGATTCTTTGTTTTAGTGTTTGTAAGTGACTCGCAAAGCGCCACCAAAGACCTTGACGTTGCAATATTATGATTTTCAACAAGTTTTATTTAGATTTATGATAAAGAGGAAAATGTATTAATGAGATTAATACGATGTTAAACGGATATTGGTCAACTTTCAGGAAATGCAACTAAGTAAATATATAATACACAATTTTAGATAAATAGAAACTAATATAACTATAGTGATGAACAAAATATTAGTACAGATAATATTATGAAATTTACAATAATACTAGTTTCAAAAGACATTTCTTTCAATGAAATATATTATAAATCATGAATATGTTAAATAATTATGCAATTACAAAAGTAACAGAATATATCGGGAACTATTTACATTAAAAAAAATATTATGATTCTTATAATTTTATATTGTAATTTGTTAAATTATTTTGTTTAATATTTTATATGAAACTTTATTATTATTATTATTTTTTCAAATCATTTGTATACTAAATATTGTTCAAATAATATAAGCAATATGCTTTGAATTAACTAATATATGTTGAAAGTAATAATTCTTTTTCAAATTTAATTATCTTATATTTCTGTATAAGTTTAAAATATCGAAAAAAATATATTTACATCACATTTTTGTAGTACATCAATCAAAGAGATTTGAACATTTTTATTTTCTCATTCTATTAATAAAATATTGAATAGTTTAAATGGACTATTAAATAATTGTTAAACAATTGTTTAATAATTTTTTAAGATTAATTTAATATTAAATTCTTAATATTATTAAAAATTGCATTGAAAAACATTTTAAATATTTTTGTTGTTTATACTAATATTCAGGATCTTCATATGTTTTATTCATATGCAATTCTTTACAAATTTTATTGAATTACAATATTTTTAAAAATATTTAAATTTAATAAGCTATTCTTCTTACTTATTTAATATCAACCATTTCTTACGATGTTTTCTACATTACAGATTTTCCCTTCCTGTTTTTTTTTTATTTATTTATTTATTTTTTTTTTTTTTTTTAAGAGTAACTTATATTGTCCTAAAATATTAAAATAAAAATTCATTATTTAATTTTTGATGTTAATAATTTAATTACATTTTTGATTATTAGTTTATATTAATTATTCTTAGTAAAATTAAATAAAATTTTCTTTATTTATGCAAATGGAATGTTTCTGGTGCTTTTTTCAGCTTTATTTATTTTTCTTATTTATGTATTTTCTATTTTTTTCATGATTTTACTAATTATTTAGAACTATTAGTTTAAATCTTGAAATTTCGGAAATAAATTTTCTGTAACTATCATTTATATTTTAGTAAAAATAATTTCCTATATATAATTCATTATTTTCTGTTAATCTATATAGTTATTTAACATGAATATTTAATTGATAATCTCGAAAATTATATATTTGAAGAATTTTATAAGCATAATTATATAATTTTTCTCCATTTTTTTCACAATTATAAATAATTTTATTGTTACAAACAACAATAAAAGATTACTTGTGTTAATATTTTTGTTCATCACTCTATATTTACATGCAGAAAGAAAGAAAAAAAAAATCAATAGTTTCGTATAGCACTTAAAGAATTTCTATAATAATATTTTTACAATACTTTTTCTTTCTCTTTTGCTTTTCCTACGAAATTTTAACCACTAGCCGTTACTTTTTTTCTGCAAATGTGTGAAAGAAATAATAATTTCTTTCTCTGCGAAAGCGTCAAGAATTTATTGTAGCATAAGTTTACTTTACTTAAGCACTAAAAAACGTACACATATAAAAGCGCTTAAGGGTATAGATATGAAAAACTGTCAGCTTTAAGAATGTCAGAATCTTGAAAAGAATTCAGTGATGGCGTTCCCAATGAATTTTATTAATCCAAGCATCATGATATAGTATCGTAGTTTTTAGGATTATCTAGTTAATTCCGTTTTGAAATGCGAATGTGTTGTACCTACCAATACCGCCGAATTGAATACAAACGAATAAGCATTGAAATAAGGGAATATTTGAGTAAAAATGATCATTAATGATGATAATAATTAGCCGACTGTAAAAGTAACGCTTTATAGGCTAAGCTATACTTGTGTAATTTCTTGTCGAGCGTGCTCTGATTTCTTGTCTACACGCGCTTTTTCATCACTGATCTCAGAGGATGTTTGCGCACCTTTTATTATGTTGCTATGTATATATTAGAGCACGAGCTCTCTTAACCCCTTTTTATTAATGAGCTCGAGCACCTTA